GGAACTGTTTTTGAGTCTGTGGGTTTTTGTGTTGATGCACCTGTAGCGCTTCTCTGAGGGAAGCAGGCTGAACATGTTGAAACCAGGGTGGGAGCTGTCCTTGATGATGTTTGCTGCTCTGCTGAGACAGCGGGAGGAATAAATGTCCATCAGGGAGGGGAGAGGGCAGCCGATCATCTTCTGTGCTGTCTTGACCACACTCTGAAGCCTCACTCTATCCGCCTTGGTGCAGCTGCAGTACCATACCGTGATGCAGTAGGTTAGCAGGCTCTCAATGGACGAGCGGTATAAGGTCAGCAGCAGGTTGGAGTTCAGCTTGTACTTCCTGAGGACTCTCAGGGAGTGCAGCCACTGTTGGGCCTTCTTGATGACCGCTGAGATGTTGTCTGTCCAGGAGATGTCAGCAGAGATGAGGACACCAAGGAACCGGAAGGTGTGGACCCTCTCCACACATCCACACACTCCCCGTTGATGTAAACGGGGGCCAAGTCGGTGCTGTGTCTCCTGAAGTCAACAATGAGCTCTTTGGTTTTCTTAGTGTTCAGTGCCAGGTTGTTTTCTGAACACCAGGCTGCCAACTTCAGGACTTCCTCTCTGTACTCTGCCTCGTCTCCCTTTGAGATGAGTCCGACTACCGTGGTGTCATCAGCAAACTTGATGATGAGATTGTTGTTGTGGGTCGAACTGCAGTCGTGGGTGTAGAGAGAATACAGGAGGGGGCTCAGCACACAGCCCTGTGGGGAGCTGGTGCTCAGTGTGCGAGTGGAGGAGAGATGAGGGCCAAGTCTTACAGTCTGGGGCCGGTTTGTGAGAAAGTCCTTTATCCAGGCACATGTGAGAGGAGGGAGGCCAAGAGTGACCAGTTTGGTGATGAGGATGTCCGGGATGATTGTATTAAAGGCTGAGCTGTAGTCCACGAAGAGCATCCGGACGTAGCTCTGCCGCTGCTCTAGGTGACTCAGCACAGCGTGGAGGGCTGTGGCGATGGCGTCTTCTGTGGATCTGAAAGCAAACTGGTGGGGGTCGAATTCTGGGGGGAGGTAATCCTTGATGTGCTGAAGGACTAGTCTCTCAAAGCATTTCATGATTCCCGGTGTGAGGGCCACAGGGCGGTAATCATTCAGGCTGGAGATGGGAGACGTCTTTGGCACTGGGATGATTGTGGCTGATTTTAGACAGGATGGGATGGCTGCCTGATCCAGTGAGAGGTTGAAGAGTCTGGTGAAGATGAGGGTGAGCTGGTGGGCACATGCTCTTAGTACCTTGCCAGGTACTCCGTCTGGACCGGCCACAAGTAGTACTTTACTTGCGGCCGTACAAGTAGCACCGCAAGTCATGTACTTTCAGTATCTGAAAGTACATGACTTTCAGATACTGTTCATGCTGTAGGGAATTTTTAGGCTTTACACTTTTTTATGTTCCATTTTTCCTAACATTTTTTTTTTCATGGACATGCTGCACAACATGCCAAGACATTCCATGTTTTCAGCGTATAACCCTTTGGGAATCACCTGTTGGTATGAAAATACAATTTTAATACTAACCTGTGTTAGAAGCAGTTTGACAAACATACAACCAGCATAAAACCAGTGTTATGTCTACACAGCCAGTGTTGTTTAGACACAACACTGGTTTGTCCATACAGTTAGGTGTTTTATGCTCAAATGATGCAGGTCAGTGAGGTCAGTGACGGATACAAGGACTAGAGCAGCGGTCCCCAACCCCCGGGCCTGGGACCAGTACCGGTCCGTGAGTCGTTTGGTACCGGGCCGCGAGAGTTGAGGCTCAGGTGTGAAATGTATAGTTTTCAGGGTTTTTATCGGTTTTCAGCTTTATTTTGTTATCGTTTTTATCGTTAACTCTGTTTTCCTTGGTCGTTTCACGTGTGTTATGAATAAATCTTCTTTTTTTTCGGTACCGGTACTAGTTTTATTTTGTTGTATTTATCCGCGACACCTTAAAGGCTGGTCCGTGAAAATATTGTCGGGCATAAACCGGTCGGTGGTGCAAAAAAGGTTGGAGACCACTGGACTAGAGTGCAAATGAGTGAAAAAGCAGCCAATGTCCAAAGAACCATTTGGAAATCCCTTCAGAACGTCTGGAGGAATATTGCTCTGGACCATTTGAAAAAAATTATAATAAAGTCCTGCTGCTTGGATAAATAAATAGCTCAAGACATTTGTACTGACATTTAAATGATTGAAATGCAAAAGTATAGAATAAACTGACTGAGTGTAGCAGTAATGGGTTAAAAAGAAAAAAGGTTTAGTTTAGATAAGTTTATGCGTCACTCAGAGGTGTGTGTGTCTGTGGGTGCGTGTGCGTGTGCGTGTGCGTACTTGTCTACGTTAGGTGAAGGTGTGCATAGAGGCCGGTCTGGGTAGCTGGGCGGTGTCAGGATGATGACATTTCTTTGAATGACTCTGGACGAAGGCAAGAAAGGAAGTGATAAAGGAGAAAATCACAGAGGAGGCAGACGCAGACAGAGGCTGTGTGCGGGCTTGTTGTTTGAGCAAACAGAAGAGACTTAACTATAGTGTGCGTGAGTTTTAATGTGTCTGCTATGAAGTTTGTTATTGAAGATCAGAGAAAGGTGGCAGGATGGAGAGACCAAGCAGCTGTCATGTAAGTGTGTGTGTGTGTGGTGTTTGGGGTGTGTGTGTTGTGGTTCAGGTGGTTGTGTTGACTCGACATCCCGTCAGGGTTAACAGAGCTGTCTGTCCTTTACTTTCCATTTAGGCAACCTTTTTGGGCTTTGCTGGGATTAAAGTGGCTGATCAATAGTTTCAGTAATCTCACTGGAATTAGATTACAGTCCTGGTTTCTACCTATCCCGGCTCTGCGGTGTTTTATTTGGTGTTGTTTTACTGTAGAACAGCAGAGGCGACTTTAAACAAATCAGTCAAAAGTTTCCTATTTGTTCCTGCTTCCTTTTTTACTTCGTTAAAATGAATAAATTAATTAAATATGTGGATGTTGAATTTCTGTCATCTGTCTTTGGGTTTCTCAGCTATGCAGGATAAAGTTACAAAATCAGCTTTTTCTGCTTTTATTCCAGTTCTCCAGAGATCAGTTCATCCTGGACTGTCCTTCAGAGAAACTTCGCAAGGAGCTCGAGGAAGAACTGAAGATGGACTGCGAGGAGCCGAGAAGTCACGCGTGGTACCACGGATCGATTCCCAGACAGGTAACACTGCTCGCACACAAATCTGAGTCACAAGTCCCTCCTTTTAAAAGCCAGGTTAGAAACTTGTTGAACCAGATTAGCTATTATTAGTCTTCCATGCTACACACATGGTGCTTACAGGAAGACTGTTGCGTAAAGAGTGGCCCCTGCAGCAGCGCTGACAGAAAGAAAGGCTTCATTCTGTATGGTGTGTTTATGTGTGTTGTGTGTGCGCGCATATGTGAGAGAGAGATCTTGTGTGTTCCCCTGAAAACCAGCACTGAGATGTAATCTTTTTTAATAAGCTGCTTCCCTTGGCTAAACTAAACCACCGTTCTAACTTAAACAAACATTTGCTTAATTAAAGTCTGAAACTGTGGATGACAGAGAGTGTATGTGTTCGAGAAGAGCGAGCGAGAACCAATAAATGTAACAAGGCAGGGAAATAAAGAGCACTGCATGTGTAAACGGTCAAAGAAATATCCTTTTTTAAAAATCATATAATAAATGAAAGTCAAATTTATTTTTAAAGTGCATTTAACAGTGCTTTATAATACTTTATAACACATCCAACAGTTGACACTGGCCAAGGTGCTCTTTAAAAGACAGAATGGATAAAAATAAGTAAAATACATGCTAGTAGGTGGTAAATATAAACAGTCATGGCTTACATAGGCACATATAATGACCATAAGAATCAAAAGCCAATGAATAAATATATGTGTTCAGTCTAGTTTTATCAGTCATTTGAAGGAAATGCTGTTCCACAGTTCAGGGGCAAAAACAGAGAGTAGACTGAGCTGGAAGGAGCTAAAACAGGTGAAATACGATCTCTTTTTTTCTTCTTCTTCTTCTTCGGGTGCCTGTGAGGAGCCTACAACTGACTGAGACCCGTGTAAAGTGATTTGCAGTAGTCCAGGAGGAGGAGATGAGGTCATGAATGACAATCTTGAAATCTCTTATGGAAAGAAAAGGCTTAATTTTCTTTCCATAAGAGAAGGCTAATTTTTAACCACCGAGTTACTTTGATAATAGGTCTCATTTTTTCTGTGGTAAATGATAAACAGGGATCAATCTTGTCAAAAATGTTGTCATTTGACTGGTGCATTGATAGATGCACAAAAACACTGAAAAGTTTTCTGGATTAAAGCTTTATTATTTTGATTTCCCATATAAAGGTTTTAGCGTGAAATGAATGTGATTCTACATGAAACTGTCCCTTAAGCGTCTAGGTCACTAACTGGATAAATTGGAATGGTCCTCGTGTCTTACATAACCATCACTAAGCTCGCAAAGCTGGTACTAGCCTACCATTAAACGTTTGTATTGTAAACAATCACTGTGGGCCACTGTAGGTGTTCGTGTGTGTGTGGGCCGGTTATTATGGGCTCCTAAATCTGTTTGAACAGTCACGTGATGCAGGCTGGGCTTTCTCAGGGGCCAACATCATCTATGAATTTTCAGGTTAGGATACGTCTTAAGGTTAAGGTAAGGGTAACGGTTAGGCAAGTAGTTGTTATCGTTAACGGTAAGTCACCAGGAAGTGAGTGAGACAACGTAAAGTCCTCTAATGTCATGGCTGCGTAAAGTTGAGTGTGCCCGTGTGTCACTTATTTCTTTTTGCAGGTTGCAGAAAACCTGGTGCAGCGAGATGGAGACTTCCTGATCCGTGATTCGCTGTCTTTACCAGGAAGTTACGTTCTCACATGCCAATGGCGAAACACTGCTCAGCACTTTAAAATTAACAAGAAGGTAAATATGAGCTTCCAGCTACACTGAGGTGAATATTTGACTAGAGTATATAAAAGGTACAATAGCTAGGTCTGTTATTTTGCCTGTCGCCTTCAGGTCGTGATGCTGAATGAAGCTTACTCCAGAGTTGAGTACCGCCTAGACAGAGAAGGGTTCGACAGCATCCCTGCACTCATCAGATACTATGTTGGCAACAGAAAACCTGTCTCACAGGTGGGTTTAGTCACTATTTTTCTTTTAATTAATCTTGCTTCAAAGTTTATTTTATACTGTTATTGTTCTGGTTGGTGGTTTTCCTCATTATAGCACATAAAAGAAAAACTTTTGGTAGTTAATAGTAAGTTGTGTTTAAGTGCTAAGAGTTTCAAGCTTGTGAGATAAATATAGTCGCAGATAAATAAAATATGTTGAGGTTTCTTTAGGTCACCTTATCTGTTCTTCCGCCCACACATTGAAGGTGGTAGGGGCCATCATCTTCCAGCCAATCAACCGGGGGCTGCCGCTGCGCTGCTTAGAGGAAAAGCACGGACTGTCGAGCAGTCACCGGGAGAGGCTGATGTCGCAGGAGAGGCGGAACCAGAAACGCCTCAGCCTCAATATTACCAACGGACACACATACGACAACACACAGGCCATGCACGACAGCACACACTGCCAGGACAATGGCATTGCCCGAGGCAGCCAGCTCAGGTTTGCACTCTACAAACACACGCAAACACACTAATTAACACCTGAACACTGTAATTCCTCGCTGGCTCTCATAACGTGGTTGTTGTTCCACTGAGCATGTGAGATTTCTTGGATTTGATTAATATAAGCCTATTACTGCAAGTGGATAGTGGGCTACAGACCAAATACCAATCTGTCTGCTGTGTTTGAATAGTAGAGACCCACCTTTGCACAGTCTCCACCTCCACACATCGTTCTGCTTTTAAGGTTTTACTCTTTGCGCTGAGCTGTTTACATTCAATCGTTCTGACTGAAGTTCGCACATACACATGTCCCATACACATCATACGTCCTCTGTAAATGAAGAGCTGTTGTCTGTGTGCAATTTCAATGCACGCAGACATTAAACAGGGTTCTGTATCTATCTGAGAGAGGTCAGACCAGCTGTGAGGGGATAATAAATACAGAGCTGAGAGTAAAACAGAACACAGAGATGAACAAGAGGATATATGGACAGAGAAAAGGCTTTTTAAAAAGTCAAAGAAGGGATGAAAGGATTAGTGTTTATAACGTGATTTACTTTTTTTTGAATACTAATGGTACCTTTTTATTATTATATTGGAAATATTTGTAAGAGGTTTATCCGATGCCCATGTGTGAGTGGGATGTTTTTATCGCCCTTCCTCCTCCTTCAGGTTGAAGGATCGCTGCGGCAGCCAACCAGCAAGTCTCAATCAAGTCCAGGAGCGGCGACACCCACTCAAGGCGCACCAATCAGAAAGCTTCCTTCCTCTTGGTAAGTAAAAGCTAGGAGGTTCTGAAAAGCTGTGTGCCCTTTGAGGAGAGGCTGAAAGTTTTAGTTGTTCCTTTTATTATAATTACACATCTGTATAATAAACACTCAGAGAGAGCTGAGCGTAAAAGCTGAGCGTAAAAGCGAAGCTGTCGATTTACCACTCGACCCAAACTCCTCAGCTCTGGTAGAGACCGAAAGAATGAGGTCATGGACACGAGCAGCAGAAATGAACTTTCTCCAAAGGGCAGCCGTGCTCTCTGTAAATCAGAGGTCAGCAACCTGCAGCTCACGAGCCACGGATTAGGATTACATCTCTCCAATTAACTCTAAAAAGTTTAATACATAAACTATATGTACTAATTTATGCTCTTCCAATTACATCTGTTATACACTCGCATCCACAGTCACACATGTGTGCCGGTTGTTTTGGGGTTTTTTTCTCATCTCTATGAGATGAATAGATCTTAGTGGCTTGAAGTATTTTGAATCCTTTATTTTTCTCTGTATCTGTTGTATGTAATTTTTACAAACTGATCTAATGTATATGAGACCTCAAAAACAAAAGTGGGAATTCTAATCAGCTCAGTGCCTTTTTTACAAAATTATTTCCTTTCCTCCCCACCTCCACCTCATCTTTTCCTTTTTTTTTTGTAACCTTTTTTTTTATTTCTATTTACCCACCGTCTCATTATCTTCTCTTTCATCTCTTTAACTCTGTAATTTTGTTCCGTCTTCAGGATCCAAACCACAGCCCCTGCAGACACCTGACTCGCTCCTTCCCAGCCCAAACTCCAAGTCGCCGGTGTTTCGGACAGGCAGCGAGCCACTGCTGAGCCCCTCTTTCCCACGGAAATCAGCAGAGCCTCTAGCAGGTATACAAATATTTTGGTGGAGAAGAACCAGCAGTATACAGATGAGTTTCTTCAGCGATCATTGCGTTTATACAGACGAATCCCTGAAGACTTTTACGTATACTGGTTCATATAATAGAAAATGGTAAATGGCGTGTATTTGTACAGTGCTTTACTAGTCCCTAAGGACCCCAAAGCCCTTTACACATTCAGTCATCCACCCATTCACACACACATTCACACACTGGTGATGGCAAGCTACATTGTAGCCACAGCCACCCTGGGGCGCACTGACAGAGGCGAGGCTGCCGGACACTGGTGCCACCGGGCCCTCTGACCACCACCAGCCAAGGACACAACGACCGAGACTGTCGAAGCCGGGGCTCGAACCGGCAACCTTCCGATTACAAGACGAACTGACAATTCTTGAGCCACGATCGCCCCTAATAGAGTCTATTAAGCCTAACAATTGCAAGACATGTGATACAAATAGGTGTTTGGCTTTATTTGTAGTATTACTATCCTCTTTATCAGTATTAACTTTTAATGTTAACTGTAAAATAGATTAAAATAGATTTGCTTGGTCATAGTGCATAAAATGTACAGTATAGAGCAGCACTCATGCTAGACACAGAGCTACAAACAGAACAATCGAGAAAAAACTGCAATTAACAAAAGCAGCCTGAGCGCCCACAGCTCTGCCAAGACTAAAAGTTCCCTATACAGGTTGTATAAATCAAGTCCCAAAGGACAAGGATGGCCTGATCCAGGGATTGAGTTTGATATTTTGTTGAGAACATCATGATGATGTCTCCAATTTTTGTTTTGGTATGAATTTATAAAGATTAGATGCAAGATGACAAGTTTGCCCTGCGTCATAATGACGGTTTATGGACAAATCCAAAATGTACTGACTTCTAAATGTTGGTACTTTTCACCTCTTTCTTTATTTTTAATCCTGCAAACAAAACCACTTTATCACTTTGATGGAGGAAAAAATGACAAGAATAGCAATCGAGGATGAAATAAAGTAGCCTTGGTCCAGGCATCTGAACGGTATAGAAATAATGAAGCTAAACAAAGTGGCAGTTTGGACTGATTATCAGGCTAAAAATAACTGTGTGGTGCTTGCTAAGAGCCAATAAAAGCCCACGTGGGGGTTTTAAAATTAATCAGCCGTTGTGCCTTCCTAAGTATGTGGGTGTAATATAATACACTCTCCCGGGCTGCTCCTGCCATTGCTTGAATGTTAGACAATGAATTTTCCTCCTGTTCTGCTGGGGCTCTCTGCTCTAATTCACAATCTGATAATATAGCTGAAATCTGAGTGTGATGCATGCTTTTCATTGTATTTGAATTTAAATAATAATATCTTAAACATGTTAAAAAGTCAGAGGGGTTGTAATATTAGATACTTAAAAACGTTCCAAGTCTTTATATGTTTAAAAGCCAAAACAGCTTTTGTGTAACTTTTACGGCACTCGTGTTCCTCCAGGCCAAGCGATCCGGGGCTCTGACAGCCAGCTGTGTCCTAAACCGCCTCCCAAACCCAGCAAGGTTCCTCTGGCTAGGCTGGCTCACTCCTCTTGTCCTCAGGCTAGAGTTCCCTCCTCCAGCTCCTCAAACCTCACAGACACCTCCTGTGTCTCTCCCAGACTGGCTGCACCTCCACAGGAGCCCAGACGTGTAGAAACCCCTGATTCTTCCTGGGCGGGTGGAGGTATCCTTTTATTTTATATATCTTTTTTAAATATATTTATGCAAAGTTATTTGATTATTATTGGATGGTAAACATCTGTTTACATCAATATTGACTTTTATTTTCAAATGCAACATTATAGATGGATGTGTTTGTTATTCCACAGCCACTGCAGGCCCTCCTGTTCCTCCAGTGAAGCCCCTGAAATTGCAACATCTACGGCTGCCTGCAGACTCCTGCTGCTCCTCTGGGTCTCTAGTTTCACCTGCTGATGCTGCTAAGTGTCCCGATTCAGAGACAATAACAGGACAGGGTGAAAGACTGCAGCCCAGCCCTGCAGACCTGAGGTCCTGCAGCCCTCTGGAGTGGGAATCGTCAAACTCTGCTAACCCCATCACAGAGCACAGCCGTGAAGCTCAGCTAACACTCTGCAGCTATGTGGAGAGACTGAAGAGAGAAGGGGAGATGGGGAAGGAGGAGGAGGAGGTGTCAGGAGACAGAAGCTCCTACCATCATGCTATCGCAGCCTTGGAAAACACCAGTGAAGAAGAGGATGAAGATGCAGGGAAAGACGAGGAGAAAGATAAGAGGAGGAAAAAAGAGAGGAGTAGTTTTCAGCGGCCTGTCATAGAGACGGAGTCCATGTTCAGGCCAGCAGAGTTCGACTCGCGACTTCTGCCTCTAGAAAACAAACCACTGGAGATGGCGGTTCTGAAGAGAGCAAAGGAGCTGGTGCTCAGCCACAATCACCACAGCCTAGCCAGACACCTGCTGATGGCTGACTGCCAGGTATACATACACTGTCTCTAAACCTAAATATAACAACCGTAATTTATTTTTCACATGGTTATATCCTCCTCTGCAAAGTCATTAGCTTTCGTCTTCCTGATTTTTTTTCTTTTTATAGACTGA